TTATCTTAGGAGAGCTATTATGATTATATTTGTCATCAAACCAATGTTGTCAATTACGCATAACAAAATAGTGGTTTTATCAAATTACACTATGCAATAGTGCTATATTGCAAGATAACTGGTATTTGACAATATTTTGTGTTAATAGTATTGCGAAACAATAACATGACGTTCAAACTATGGTATGCTAGAACAGTATTGTGAAGTTATACCTGCTATTTAGCAACACTTATCTCACATCATATATTTGTACATATTTAGCAGTGTAATTGTGCAACTGACTATTATTTGTATTTTTAAGCATTTAATCCATGTTCTTATAGTTGCTTTGCTTAAAAAAATCAATGGGAGTTTTCCAATGAATCGTCAAATGGTTTTGAAAATTTATATGAAATTGTAGAGTTGTATGAGGCAGTGTTATTAGAGTAGTGGTGATTGGTTAGGGTTACGAGGGAGTACATCGCCTTATAGGGATTGCAGCCTGTATGTTTCCGTTGCAAATTTTCATGGATTTTGTATGGGACTTTCTATTTAGGGGTGAGTTCTCATCCCCTTACTAGTCCAGTGGGGGTAGGAATCTCTCCCATTAATTTTTTCTCCAGTGCAATATCAGCCATTAATTTAATTAAATACCCGAGGAACAAGTATTTTTCCTTTATCTTTCGTGAGACGACCTTTGTGTCATACACTCATATTACTGAATATGATTTATTTATCTTATTTCTTCCAGCAAATCAAGTTTTTTTCCTTAGGCTGAGCTAGTTATCACCCATGGCCATGTGTTCCTTTTTCCGGTATGAGATACTGCCTCCTACAGAGATCATGCATAATTTTTTATTTATTCATCAATTTGAAAGGAGCCTCTCCCCTTGAGGAATGAGGTGTTGTGTGAAGGACTACAAAACCTGGACCAAATCTTCTAGCCACCTATCTTTTGGCTTTATTGAGGTTTTTTCTTTTTGTTTGTCTCCTTAGTTTGACCATTGTTTTAGGGGTGATCTATGAATATGAGTTTGTTTTGGATTCCCATGTGGTAGCAAAAATCTAACCCGGTTGAGCTTGTAAGTTGTGTGTCGTGTCAGACACCATACACCTAAGTAGGTTGAACCTATATATTGTTTTTTTCCAATAGAACTTTTAAACTTAATCTTGAAGATATTTTCTAGTTTGGTTGAGTTTTGAGGAAGACACTCATATCTCAAAGAAGAAAAAGATGAAGACATCATAAAGATACAATGGAAGACCAATGGAAGACCAATGGAAGAAAGACAGTCATCACAATAATGGTCAATCAAAGTCTGTATCTTTTATATATCATAATTCATGTTCTATATCACTTGAAAATTCGGCAAATGTCATTCAAAATTTACATGAAATGTTTTTAAAGATTGTGCTTAGAAACCATTGTTACAATGATGAGGAAAGTGTGATTTTTCAAATAAAACTGTTCTGGACTGAGCTTGTCTTTGGCCCAACCACCAGTGAGACTCAATCTAAGCTTGCCAACCTGCTGCGCTGAGCAGTATACCCACCGAGCACACCCCGATCATAGATATTTGATCGGCTATGATTGCTTCTCGCTGGTGCTCGCGAAGAACGTCCTCGACGAGCACGCGCTCCCTCCGAGCACCTTTCTCGTAGGGCTGACTTTCAACCTCTCAGGATTTTGCGGAGTCTTCATGGTCTCAGAAAGATCGCGTCTTTATCCTCCCTGTCTTGCGGAGGGCGTTATCCAGGTAGGGGGGCCACGTGTGGGTCCCTACTACTCACGTAGAACCTGTCAGTCTCTTTGTTGGGCTTGTTTGATCAGCCCAATAAAGAGACCTTGGCCCAGCGTTGTGGATTATAAATACTCTCTCTTTCGAGAGGGTAAGGTATTCATTCATTCACACCTACATTCATACCTGCTTGCTCATTCTGCCTCTCATTTTGCCATCAGAGTGTGTTACAGGTATCTCTCATCTTCTTCAAATTCAGCCCGAAGCCAGTTGTGACGGTCCAACTCTGATTCAGTAAGATCAGTGGCGCAGTCTGTGGGAAACTAAGCTTCCCCGTCTTCTCTTCATTTAAAAGACCAAAGCTAAATAATCTTCGACTGTCACGACTGACCAAACTCAAGACAACCAGAATGTCTGTGTCGTCGACGTTAACAACAACATCACCGACAATAATGCCGACCTCGACAACGTTGGTACCGCCGGCCAAAATACGGTCCCTGGCGTCAATATCCCCAGACCTTCTAACTACCGGGACGGAGCCACGACTTCTTCTTCATCAATCCCTCCTCGACTTGAAGAAGATCGACCAATTCCTCTGAACTACCCAGCCGTCCAATTCCACGAGGTCTCCGTCCCCGCCGGGGCAGACGCCACGACCAGGGCACTATTCGCGGCGATCAACCAAACCAACTACCTCATATTCGCCTAGGGGGAAAGACTGAGAGCACTCGAGGACGACCGAATGCCCCCTAGAAGGCACAAAAGACCTCAATCTCCTCCCCATCGACAAGCGGATGAACGTCCCCAATCTCCTCCGCGGAGACAAAATCGGGACATCTCTCGAAGCCCGTCACCCGACCACTCGGGCGACGACCCCCTTTGGAGAGGGAATCGCCCGTCGACGCGGGAAGGCGCGACTATGGCCCCTCGCGGCAAGAATGAAGACCCCCGGGAGACAGACACGGGGGAAACCATCAACGGTCACACCGCCCGAGGAACGCTCCACGCGACCAGGGCCACCATGACCGCCACTACATCGGATTCCCATCCCGCTCTCCGGAACGGAGTGACGAGGACGACCCCCGCGGTCCCTTGTCACAAGCTATCATGGAGGCCCGGGGGAATGGAGAAGCCTCCCCACTTAAAGGAGTACGACGGCATCGCCGACCCGGTCGATTATATAGACGGATTCGAAGCTATGCTGCACTACCACAACATTGGGGGACCAATCAAATGTCGGTTGTTCCCCACGACTCTGAGGAAAGCGGCTATGGACTGGTACAAAGGTCTCGCCCCGGAGTCAATTACCTCTTGGCGAAACCTGAAGAACCAGTTCATCAGCTTGTTCACTACTTCGCGATGACACCCGAAGACCGAAGTAGCGCTTAAGGCCATCGTCCAGAAGCATGATGAGACCTTGAGAGAATTTATTAATCGCTTCAACCGGGAAGCCGTCCAGGTCCCCTGCACGGACCATATGAAGAGATACCTGCTGGAGAGGGGGCTCCTCCCCAACACCGAATTCAGAAAAGCTGTGGGCATCGAACCACCCCGAACGTTTGATGCCCTCCTCGAAAAGGCCAGGGCCTACATGGACTACGAGGAGAGAGAAGCGGCCAACAGAGCCCGAGACCCCAAAAACCGTGGATCCAGCAGCAATCCGCGATAAGACATCGCCCCTCTTCGAAGAACTAGAGAAAAATAAGGGACGATAAACCCCGAGACGCCCGGGAACAAAGGGGACCTTCGGGGAGGTTCCAAGAGTACACTCCGCTTACGACTTCCCGCGAGCGCATCTTAGCGGAGTGCGCAAGTACATATTTCAAGGACGGCGACATCAAACGTCCCCGCCCAGCTCCTACCAAACCCGGGGTGGACCGAAGCAAATACTTCCAGTACCACCGGAGCCACAGGCACCTGACCGAAGATTGCGTCCACCTCAAGGACGCCATTAAGACCCTCATAAAAGGGGAAAGACTTGCACAATACCGGCGAAACGACGCTCCTCGTCGAGATTCCTGTGAGACGATGGAAGCAGAAGAGGATGCCCGACCATCTGACGAGTCGGTTCCCATCCAAACCGTGTTCTCCGTTACAAGACCCGAGGACTTCTATGTCCCCGAACATTTGCAAGAACCTCTGTCTACGCACAGTAGGTGGGAACATTTCCCCTCTGCCATGGTCATCAATGGTGGAGGGTTCAATGATTTGACCATAAATTCAGCTAAGAGGAAGGTGGATGAGCTGGTCGACACGGCCCCCCTCAGACGGCGACCTTTGAAAGGGTGAAAGGCAGATCAGAGCCAATCACATTTTACCTCGAGGAGCTCCCCGGAGGGGGCCCCAATTCGGCCATCCCTCTGCTGATAAGGGCAAGAATGGCCAACTTCAACGTACATCGCGTCCTCGTCGACGAGGGGAGTTCCGTCGACGTAATGTACAGCCAGCTGTTCCAAACCCAGCAGCTCGATGACTCTCACCTTTCACCATATGTGGGGTCGGACCTGCAGGGCTTTAACGGCTCGACCTCCAAGCCTTAGGGATACGTCGAGCTCATGGTCACGTTCAGCGAGGATACCTCTACTAGGCAAGTCAGGGTGCGCTTCCTCGTCATTAATTTCCCGTCCCTCTACAACTGCATTCTGGGAAGGCCGACACTGGCATAGCTGACCGCGGTGCCATCCACCGTCCATTTAAAAATGAAGTTCTATACCAAGAGGGCACGGGTTGCCACTATTCAAGGTGACCTGGAAACTTCCCGAAGGTGTTTCAACGCGGCGTCCAAGGGACACAACACGGTCGACACCAGCACACAGCCCACCAAGAAAACTGCAACTACGCGACCAGAACCTCAGCGATCAGAGCCCGTCAGAGCAGAAGAACAGAGAGCCCCTCCAAAGGTCGACTCGATATCTTTAGACACTCGCTTCGACCAGGACAAGCCTCCCAACGGCGAGCAAGTCCCCCTCCGACCAATTTCGGATGGGGACTTC